TCTAATCGCGACGTGAAGTTGCGCAATTTCTCAGAGGTTACAGAGGTTACATCTTGGGTAGAAGCAGCGTGTATGAGTAGAAAACACATGGTCAACGTCCCTAGTACCGCACCAGATGGCATACGAAGCGCTTTGTGCGCAATAGAGCAATAGAGAATTGGAGAGGAGGCAGTGTTCAAACTTGATGTGTTGCTCGGTTTACTTACACACGCGCCAATGTCCTTCAAGCTCTGTTATGGTATATTTTGGGCGAAAAGAATTACGTAGCTTATGCGGAAGAGATAATACTAGAAAAAAAGGTGAATCTAGAGTGACAATATGGAAACTGAACTGTAGGCTGTTGACGTTGAGCCGAAGTGCTGTGGCTTCCGTAACAGTCAACTGACAACGCTTCAAGTATTCCATTTAATAATAGAAGCATTCTTATACTTGCCACTCTTCGACTACTGAACCAAAATCCGTGCCATGTAAGTACAAATGCCCATGTAGGATACCACTGCGGCATGCAGCCGCGATACATCGGGATCGTCGCATCCGCGTGTCGCCGGGAGGTCCGGATCTCAGTGGGGCCCACGGACATGATTATCGGAGCGGATTTCGGCTTTCGGACCAGGCAAACCCGCTCAAGCGTCATATCCGAATCCGAGCGCCCCCGAAACAACGTCACCAACCGCCCGGACTTTGACAACGACGGCGACGTAGATTCCGGACTACAGCTAGATATATAATACTTGATGCCAAGCAAGCCGTTATCGATATTATAGTACTCAGATTCCTCAATATGGATAGTATCACCATGACGTCTCACTTCCAGCTTCTGTTCCAGTATGTTGCTCGCAATCAACGTGTTGTTGCTACAGCACTGGCAGCAACTTTTATCGGAGTTCCCATACTACGAGCTGCAGTTCTCGACTACCGCGAGTACATCAAGATTGGACCTGGCGGCGTCCCCTATAACGTCTTTGGCTGGCTCATCCAGCTGTGCCTGCGACCCATCACCAAGGAACCGTTTCATACAAGCTGCTATGATGACGCAAGAGCGATCAAGGAAGCAGGGCCGAATGCCAGTTCGGCGTTTTTGAGTGAGGATGACGTTCCTGTGCGCCGTTCGCCGAGGCCAGAGGTAGGCAGGTGGACGGTTCCTAGTCGTCAGTTGACGGACCTGGGGGATGAAGAGGTGAGGAAGGTGAGTATTCCTCAGGACTTTGACAGTATATGAGCGCTAACAATTACACAGCGCTACCATGAATTCCTCGAATCTCTAGTTGCATCCTCTCCCTCACAACTAAAGATCGCCCAATCTTTCGCAGAAGGCCGTGGCCAAGCCCTCTTCATCGCTTCAGACAACCCCCTGCACCCCGTGGCCTGGTGGGCGAGGAAGGAGATTACGCACATGCACGCCAGCGACGGGTCTATGCATCTCAACTTGGCACCAAAGGACGCCAAGCTGGTGCTGGAGAGAGGCTGGGGACAGCGGCATCCATTGAGCGGAAGGATGCTGTACACGGGGCTCCTCATGATTTATGCGCCGAGGGGGGAGGAGGAGTTGGAGGTTGTTAAGAGGATTACCAAGGCTAGTATACGATTTATGCTTGGAGAGGAGGCTTGATGGGTGATATCGGGACGTTGTGAATGATGAATGACTATGGATTGGGTATGTTTGGTCTATTGTATACTGTGTACTATCAGTGCTAGGGTTCTATCAGGGTGATCATTGGCTTCATGAGGCTCTTCTCATATTTCTGTACTTCTATAACAAACCAAGTCTACTCCATAACATGACCTCAATCCGCAGCGCAATTGCTCATATCTTCTCTCAGATGGTTAGAGATCAGGTACATCATGAGTTCAGGTGCTTATGTCAAGGCAAACTTGTGATTTGAGTTGCGGAAAGGCACTCTGTAACCCCAGTTATTGGCTCTAACTAAATAAAAGTCAATCAATGCATCCAATGCTAAAGAAAAAAAGACTCGGCTTAAAAGCAGACCACGTGGGAATTAGCTGGGTTGTGAATCGATAAGGTACCGTGTGCGTACCTGGCGCATACTGTACTGGGGTTGGTCATTCGCCGGATCGGCGGGGCACCAACTGGTTCACGCCGAGAGCAGGCACAAGCCTTTTACCATCTTCCACTGTTAATTCAACCTCTGGAACGAGTCGTTCAAGATGAAGTACGTCCTGGTGAGCGGCGGCGTCATCAGTGGCATTGGAAAAGGTACATCTCTTGCCCTTGTTATTCCCCTTCTGAGTTTGTCGCATTGCGACTCAATCATGAACTTTGCGCCGGAAGATCAGGTTCTTTGAATTCTCTCGAATTTTTCACCTCGAATCTCGTGATATCGCTGACATGGTGTATCTATAGGCATAATCGGTATGAAAAGCCAATTCTCTTGGTTACACATTCTGGCTGACCTCGTCGAGCTTCCTCCTCTGGACTTTTACTCAAGACGGCAGGACTCAAAGTCACGGTATGGGAGCGATGTGCCTGACAGTACACACTCAATTGCTGACGAAATGGTTTATAGGCAATCAAGGTATATAGCAATATTGGTTTGAGTTAGTTGGAGATGCTGACCCTCCAGATTGACCCGTACCTGAACCAAGGTATGACCCATGACTCAGTATGTAACAAGAGCCATCAACTCACACGAATACAGACGCCGGGACCCTAGGACCACTTGAACATGGAGAGTGTTTTGTCCTTAAAGGCAAGTCACATCCCTGGTTATTCAACCCGTCGACTTGTGAGCTGACTGAAGTGCAATGTAGATGGAGGGTATGTTGGCACATGCGACATCATGCGACTCATCATCACCAGCCATTGATCTCACATACTAATTAAATTCAGGGAGTCTGACCTCGACCTGGGCAACTACGAGCGCTACCTCGGCCTCAATTTGACGAAAGAGAGCAACATTACCACCGGCAAGATCTACAAGTTGGTCAAACCATCTCCTACCGTTGAAGGACCAAGCTGACATGGACTTTTCTTCAAGAGCTGTCCTTGAGCGCGAGCGGAGAGGCGACTACTTGGGTCGCACGGTTCAAGTTGTCCCTCATGTCGTCAACGAAATCATGGACTGGGTTGAGCGTGTCGCAAAGATCCCGGTCGACGAGAGTGGTGAAGAGCCCGACGTCTGTATCGGTATGTTCTAATGACTTTTGAAACAGCTACCACTACTAACTCTTCTCCTAGTTGAATTGGTATGCCCTCGTGTTTCTGCTACTGGTTAGTCAGTCTCCCTAATCTGAATACAGGGCGGCACAGTCGGTGACATTGAGAGCATGCCCTTTGTCGAAGCCTTGACCCAGTTTCGACACAAGGTGGGAAGGGGAAACTTTATCAACATCCATGTGTCATATGTGCCCATGTGAGAACTCCGCTGGGTGTTGCCTAGAGCGAGAACTGATAGTGTCTAGTATCCACGGAGAGGAAAAGACCAAGCCCACACAACACGCCATCAAGACGATGCGAAGCGCTGGCCTGATTCCGGACTTGGTGGGTGCCGAAGTAGCTTTCCGGGTTCACGGCTAACTTCTTCTATAGATCGCATGCCGCTGCGAGCGCGCCCTCCATCATGCAACAGTCGACAAGATTGCTCGAAGCTGCCAGGTCGAGGACGAGCAGGTCATCACGGTTCGGGATATCGAGTCCATCTACCAAGTCCCCAAGCTTCTTGAGGAACAGGGCCTGCGGGATCGTCTTGCTGAGGGATTGATGCTGGATGAGCTGACTCTCCCCGAGGCTGTGGCTAAGCAAGGATCGGACTTGTGGGCATTGTGGAAGAAGACGGTCGCTATCAAGCCAGGTCTGGAGCCGGTTGATATTGCCTTGGTTGGAAAGTACACTGCATTGCCTGACAGTAAGTACCCTGTTTTCGTTATTGACTGCAGACCTTGGTGATAATTTCTAACCATGAACGCGTTAGGTTACCTTTCGGTGCTCAAGGCCTTGGAGCATTCGGCTATGCGATGCAACCGGAAACTCAACCTCGTATGGATTGACGCAGACCATCTCGAAGATGCCATGTTGGAGGGCGACTCGCCCAAATATCACAAGGCTTGGTCACAGCTCACAGCTGCCGCTGGTGGTGAGTAGCAAGAGTCTCTCTATCCCTTGCTGATTCTGTTGCGAGATTCTTTAGCCAAGAACACACCCGTACTGTTCTGATTGCTGACTCTTCCTAGTCTTGGTCCCAGGAGGATTCGGAGTTCGATCTAGCGAAGGCCTCATCAAGACGGCACAATGGGCCCGCGAACACAAGGTCCCATTCCTGGGTATCTGTCTGGGAATGCAGCTGGCAGTTGTGGAAGCGGCAAGAAACCTATGCGGTTACAATGATGCCACTTCGGAGGAGTTTGACGCAGTTGCCCAGCACCAAGTCGTCATCTTCATGCCCGAATCGTCCAAGGAGGTCATGGGCGGTACGATGCGACTCGGTGAGAAGAAGACGCTCTTTACTCCTGACAGTAAATGGAGCAAGCTTCGTGCTTTGTACGGTGATGCTGAGACGATGAGCGAGCGGCATAGGCATCGTTATGAGGTGAATCCGGATTACATTGATGAACTCGAGAAAGCTGGGCTCTGTTTCATCGGCAAGGACGAGACGGGAAAGCGGATGGAGGTTGTTGAGATCAAGGACCATCCCTTCTTTGTCGGCGTTCAGGCTCACCCGGAGTTTACGTCTCGAGTTGTCAGCCCTTCGTTGACATATCTTGGTTTCGTTGCTGCTAGCGCGGGGTGTCTTGACGAGATCACCAAGGAGCAGCAGAGCCGGCGGTAGGGTGAAGGTGTGGTGGTTTAGTGGTAAACTGGAGTTTACGGGTTAGATAGACTGTTGAAAGCTGCGAAGTGTAGAGTGTCAATTGCGAATTAGAGACGGTTTGTTTGTCTGTTTGGTCAACATGTTGGTTGTCAAACAATCCTGGTCTATTGATGGTCCTAGATAGGAAAAGAGTCACGTGTGGTTATCGTCAACTGTCTTGAACAAAGGGTTCACTCAGTTCCAGTTCCAGTTCCATGTGCTAGTTGACCCCTGTCGCTCAGAGTGAACCACTGTAAAAAGATACGATATCAGCTCCGCAGCAATTTCCGCCGTTTACCGACGTGATGATGACAAAGAACAGGGATCAAGAGGTGTGCTTTTCGAGTATAGGGCTTATCGTGGCAAAGAACATTAAAAAGCCACGACTTATGCGTTACGGGCTGATGATAAAAATGGAACTAAGAAAAAAAAGGAGAATGGTATTCTGCGCGTCTTTAGCTGGAATGAACCAATCCGGTCTGAGCATCAAGCCCGGAATGGGAACAGGATTGAATTCCCAAGCGAACGGATCTACGGCATGAGAATGTGGGAATTTGTAGAGATTCCCATTGGATTGAGTGCAAGTGGCTGAGGCTCAAGTGCCGTAGGGTAACTCACGAAAGGCTAAGCATCTCACGCCCTGTAAGCCAAGCTTCTGTCCGCTGAAACCTTGGGGGTCGAGCCCGCTGAAACTCTTGACCGTGGGCGCCCGGGCCCCACAGCCCGTATTAATTTCTTCCAGAATCTCTCCAGCTGGCTCTTCTCCTTTACCCCCTGCGCCCGCCTCTCGACGCCTCGCCAACTTTAGACCTCTTTCTGCATCTCCATTCTTGTCTCTCCCTCTCTTCTTCTTCTTCTTCTTCTTCACCGTGTCTCTCTCTTCGCGTCTCGTCTCGCACATCTCGGGCCACCACTCCTTTCATCGAATCAGACGAAACTTGCCCTTTCCGGCCCGGGAGACAGTTGTCGTCATCATTTTTGAGTCGTTTTTAATTCCGTCCGCGTCCTCCGCTTCTATCTTCGACCCTTGACCGTTCCTCCATCGATAAACATCCATTGCGCCCGATACATCCTGCTAGGCTTGCAGCAAACGCCGTCGAGATGCAGCAAGACATCATGGCTTGGTTCATGGAACTGACGGCCTGGGTGGCGCCCTTCTTCATCGTCATGTCGCCCGTCCTGTCGTACAGTGACCAGATCATTTCCATGTACCGGAGCAAGACGAGCGCTGGCTTCTCCCTTGATATCCCCCTCATTATGCTCGTCGCGTCCCTGCTGAGGTTGGATCTTTCCCTCTCCCCTCGGCGCGACACGTGGCTGACCCGCGCTTCTCGTAATATACAGGATCTTTTACTGGCCCCATGCCCAATACGATACGAGCCTCCTCCTGCAGTCGCTGCTCATGATTATTGTCCAAGTCGTCCTGCTCAAGGTTGCGCTCGACTACCGCCCGCCCCCGCCCACCAAGGGCGGAGAGGCCGGTCTCCCATTTGCCGGCGGGGACGACACTCTATTTGGCTTCCAGCGTCCTTATAACTTTTGGCAGTGGCGATCACCTAGAAGGTTGGTGTCTGCTCGGGATCCTCGGATGAGTGCTGGGGAACTAATTGATAAATAGGTACTGGCACGCCATCATGTACTTCGCTGGTGCCCTCTTCGTTCTCGAGTTGCTCCTCTCTCAGATCCCCGGACTCTACGGTGCTTATGCAAACGCCATTGGATGTATTGGACTCGGTGTGGAGGCGACACTTCCCATCCCTCAGATTCTGGTCAACTACCGATCCAAGTCGTCAGCTGGCCTGCGACTGTCGGTCTTGGCCGCGTGGATCGGCGGCGACACGATGAAGCTGTTCTGGTTCTTTACGGCAAAGACGGCGATCCCGTGGTCATTCAAGATCTCTGGCATGTTCCAGGCTTCGTGCGACTTCTTCCTCGGGTTCCAGTACCTCTTGTACAACAGCCGCGAGGTGCAGACGGCAGTCAAGGAGCACCCGATGAAGGAGTGGACGACGCGAAGCCACAGCAGGAGCCTCACCCCTACGCGACACGCGGGGCCTTTCATGGAAGCGGAGCAGACCGAGTAGGCGCCTCTCCAGGGTCCTAATCAATTATAGACGATGTAATGACATGGTGATGGTAGTTTTGGTGTGCGATACCAAGAGAGAGCTGCGACAGTGACGAGCCGTCAGAACAGCCATCCTTTACGACCACGATAAGGGAGACGAAAGGATGAGGAAGAGATGGAATAGGAGTGAGGTGCTGATGCCGAGTCAAGCATTGGGGGGCACTGAGGACGTCGACTCAAGAACAGTCGAGTCGAGCTGATCGGAGCTGGAGTCGAGACAAGATGAGAAGACGGAGCCGAGGTGACATCCATCTCGGACCGGGTCAGGAATTCATTGTCTTGACTCGGCTTCTCCGGCCAAGTCAAGTTGAAGCTCCACAATTCGGGGTTCAATCCTTGAACGATTGCCGGGTCTTGGCTCCATCCTGGATCTTGGGTCTCGAGTCTTGGCTTGTTTCTGAAACAAGCACCAACAAAAAGTGTCGCCACCACCACACGCGACCGCCGTTACTTGTTGTTAGCGGGGTACCTACCACGAGGAACTAGATATAGACGTTTAGACATTCGCCATCACACACGACGCGAGATATACAAGTATATAATTAATAACAAGCATAATTAATATTTCAATCTATGCATCTTATTTCTCTGTCTTGTTGTTGATCTCTGTCCTGGTCTGTTGGTGATTCTTTCCAAAGTCACGCACTATCTAAATCTCACCACCTAATGCTAAGAGATTCCCAGCCACCAGACTTTGTCTCCTGGCTTGTCCTGTCTTTATGAAGCACTCCTACTATAGAGAACCATTCCAAACAGTACACTACCATCTCAAGCTGTCTTTCGTTATCTGAGTCTTTCCGCTCCTTCCGCCGTTTATTGTCATCCATCCCAAAGTGGTCCATGTGGCCCGTGTTTCCCGTCCCGTCTCCAGACTCAAACGGACTGAAACAGCCCAAAAACACTCAATTCTCAATATCGAGCATTTCTTATACCAACACGACATAAACAACCACTTATTATTAAGTCTTTTTTATTACTTGGAGTTTTGGGTTTCTCGTTGCTGGTAAACGGCTGCAAGGCTGCTCCAGCTGTGGCTGTTTGCTTTTTCGAGGCACACCCCGCGTCGCCCAGCAACTAGAACCGCCAGTCACAACTCGAGACCTTGAACGGTTATCCAGTCTCACGAAAGTCATAGAGTATAGTCTTAAACTCCTTGGGTAAGTAAACTATTCTCAGAATTTCGTCTATATCATTTACATCGTCCGTGAATCATCTTCGGTTTGCCCTAAGTAGGGCAAGCCTTCATCCACAACCTTTAACCTCGCTCTCATTCACAACACGGGAATCAATATCTCTTATTTTACAAAACCACACACGCTCATTCACCTTTCAAACAGGCATTCAGCTCGGGCGGCTCTATCTCGTTTGTTTCTATCTACGTCATCGACCTTCACTACCATTCATTCTCACTACTCAAGTCGAGTTTCGTTTCCTTGCGTCGCCTCTTTACCTTTTCTTCTCCTTCATACCTTGCGAGATCATCAACTCGTCAAACACATCGCGCGCTCTTAACGATCTTATTTCCCTTTGAGGTCAGTATTTTTTTCACGTTTGAGAATTCGCGATACCTTTTGCTTGCCTCTATCGCGTGTTTCCCATCTCATCTTTCAACACTTCTTTCACCCATTTCCTTCATCCCGGCCAGCTCAGCCAACAACTACCACCTCTCAACCATCGCTAACAACATCATCAAGCAGATCACGATGGCCCCCGCAAACTCCAAGGCAAACTACAAGACCTACGAGGCCCAGGCCCGTATGGTCCGCGCCATCGTCGCAGCGCACCCCGAAGTCAAGTGGAACTACAAGGGTAAGAAAGCATACTTCTCATATTCTTCTTCCTATCTCTAGACTCTTCCCTTCCTGCGTGGAAAAAAGCCCATTCAGAGGATTGACCCTTTTGTTTTCTCTTGTGCCGCAGAAATTGTCGCATGCTACGGCTCCGACATGACTGAGCATGCCCTGAACCACCGCTTCCGTCGCGTGCGTGCCCAGGCAAGCATCATCTCCGAAGGCCGCGCCCGCGGTCTTGACATCAAGGAACTTTCCACCGACGAGAACATTCTCCCTGCCACACAGGGAGCCATCGACAAGAACAGTACGGCTTTTCCTCTAGCCCCTGCTCTCATGTCCTTACACTCATATCTCATCGCTCGTACGGCACATATCACTAACTCAACTTCTTCTAGACATTGCCAAGTACTTTGGCCAGTCTACCGCGGATGGCATTCAGTTTCAGTTCCGAACCATCAAGAAGGACGCTGAAGCCCTTCGTCAGACCGCTAACGACGGCGGTGACGTGGCCAACTGCCTCAACCTCGGTGTCGGTTCAAACCTCGCCCCGGGCACGCCCTCGAAGCCTACCCCGTCTCGAAGCCAGCCCGGCAGCCGCTCTGGCAAGGGAGCCAAGCGCAAGGTAGCCGTCGCCCCCGTCTCGAGCCCCATCAAGCGCTCCCTCTCCGACGACGAGGGTGAGGATGATGAGCTCAACTTTGACGAGATGGACGTCACCCCTTCGAAGCGCGCCAAGACTACCGGACGTGGTCCTACCCGTGGAACGACGCCTTCCCGCTCTGCTGCCGTCAAGGCCGCCGCTACCATCGCCGAAGCCGCACAGCAGCAGCCCCTGAGCAGCGGGTCGTCCCCCGAAGAGATGCCCGCTCCCATCATCGCGCCCATCGTGGCCCCGGTTCTCACTCATCCTCCCCCTCCTCTCAACACCATCCGTCCCCAGTCCCTCTTTGGCGACGTTGAGCGCAAGCCCCGGCAGCCTCAGCAGCCCCGTGGCTTCATGACTAACCATGGCATGACTAACCATGGTTCTGGCATGGGCTTCGTGACTGCTACCACGCCTTGGCCTGAGCTGAGCAGCTTCTCCAGCAACAATAACAACAACAGCGGCTTCATCACCCCCGATGATCTGCACTACATGAACTTTGATGACGGTGAAGGAGAGATCTAGATCTCGTTCCGTTTACCTGAACCACACTAAATGATCTGAGTGGTGAATCTGTTTCGAGTACTCTTCTCGAGTATCGACAACACGCACCATTCAGATACGGACATGCCAACTGTATTATACAGGAACACCCCCGGAGAAAGAACAACAGCCCCACATACCGTATTAATTCTTGGCAAAACAAAAACACCATGGCTATTTCGACATTTCGCTCTGGCATCTCAAACAAATGACGATGCCCTTTCACTTCTGCGACATGGTTGACTCGCCCCCCTTTTCGCAGATACCCAACAAAGGACACACAAAGTAGTCCTTCATTCATTAGTCTTTTACGTCTCATTTTTTACTCACGACAAACGGTTTATATACCAGGATCTCTCACGGGGTCTACAAAAATGCGAGCAAGGTTCTTTTTATTTCTTGGGCGGTTTTTATCAACGTCTTCCAGTCACGATCTATTTATGATTGACCGTGGAAGGCCATGGGAATGAAAAACTCACGGGGCGTGTATGGGAATTAGCTAGCTAATCGACCTCAATCAACACAATAAACGAATCGAGTCTTGACGTGACATGACACAATCCTCACAAAGCCACTGATGTACGACAGACTGTACTTTTTACTGTTTTGCATTACTAGACGTGTAACCTTGTACCACCACCAATCACCAATCAACTAGAAAGGACCTGCCATAGAGCATCCTTCTCCACAAAGTCGTGATGAATCAGGTTAACCAGCCAGTACTCGTCCTTGATGCCGCTCAGGAGCTTCTCGCTGTCCGAACCCCGTCCGTACACCTTGGCCCACTCCCCCCAGATGCCAAACGCCTCCTCGCACCAAGCTCGGAAGCTCACCTCCTCGATAATCGTCGGCGTAATGATCTCCTTGCCCGGGAACACGCCCCAGGTCACCGCGTTGGTGCTCGGTCCCGCCCCCGAGGAACCGTCCACGTGACCGCCCTTGTCCGACGACACAAAGTCTCCCTTTGCGTTGCCGGCGTAGAAGCACACCGAGTCGCACAGCTCTGATGAGTTGAGCTTCTCTTTGAGCACGCTCCATTCGGACGAGGGGATGAAGAACTCAACAAATGACTTCTGGAATACGAAGCCGTTGGGTGGACCCCAGCCAAATGTGCCATCGCTGGACCGGAGACCATTGACGGCGGGCTGCGAAGCGACAGTCCACCAGCCCTTTTGGTTAAGTCGCAGAAGATGGGGCTGAATCGTTGAGCTCTCTGCGAGCAGCTCCTCCTCGCTCCAGGGAATGGCTGAAAGCTGGCCCTGAATGTGCTTGACGAAGAGGTCGTTGATATCCTGCCGTGTCTTGGGGTGACCCCAGAGCTTGACTGCCTGCGTGATGGACATGTGGAGGCTCACGCCGTAGCCGTCAATCTCACCGTAAGCAGGGGAACGGGCGTCACCGAAACGACCGTTGGGGAAGTCATCCCACGTAGCCTCACGGCCTAGGACTCCTTCGCCCTCCGAGATGGCCAGAGTGTTGGCGCGAGTGTTGATGGCCTCGGCGCGCACGCCGGCCTCTTGTCCAGTAGCCTCCCACTCGGGGTGTGTGGCTGGTCGGTCACCCACAATGACTCGGTTGTGGGGGTCTGAGCCGACCGATGAGTGTCGCCTTGAGGCCCGAGAACGAGAGTGGCTTCCAGAGCGTAGGTTGGAGCTGCCGTTGACCAGGAGGGCGGGGATGGGAATAGCATCGTCTACCACAAGAGCTTCTTCATCCTCCGGAGGCTCAGGGATGAGGTTTGTTCGCTCGAGGATAAAGGACACAGCCTTTTCGAGGTTGAGGGTGTAAAAGTGGAAGCCCTTGGGACCTGGCGTCTTGCTCTTGATATCCTTGACCTTTTCCACGAGCTCACTCACAATATCCACACCAACCATCTTGACCCGTTCATCATCTCCCTTGACGGCATTAAGACGTTCGAGGATATCATCGGGAATTTGGGCGTGGCTTAGTTTCGTTGTGCGCTTGATCATCTGGAAGCTCTGAATCGGCATGAGACCAGGTATAATAGGCAAGGTCTTGAAGGCACCGCTGGGGTGGTCGCGGAGGGTGTTCTCGAAGTGCTCGTAGGCCTTGATATCGAAGAAAAGCTGGGTCATGATAAAGTCGGCGCCGGCTTCGACCTTCTGGACAAGGTAAGGAAGATCATGCTCCAAGCTCTGACCCAAGGGGTGACTCTCTTCTGCGTGTCCCTCGGGGTATGCCGCAACACCGATACAGAAGTAGTCGCCATGAGTCTTGCGGATGTACTTGACCAAGTCAGCCGCCCAATTGAAGTCCTGGCCACCGTCATCCTCCGAGTCGTCTGGGTCGCGGTATTCTTCCCTTCGAGGAGGGTCTCCCCGTAGAGCCAGAATGTTCCTAATTCCCAATGCCTTTGCATCCTCCAGCGCCTTGTCGATGAGCTTCCTACTCATGTTGGTGCATGTCAAGTGCAGACATGTTGTAAGTCCTAGCTCCCTCTGACACAGCTCAGCCAGCTCCAACGACTTCTGAGAGGTGCTGCCGCCGGCGCCCCAAGTTACGTTAACGAAAAGCGGTCGTAGGGCTCGCTCCATACGATGAAGACGGTCTCGAAGGTTGGAGAAACCCATGGCGGTCTTGGGAGGGAAGAACTCGAGAGAGAAGTAGCTGCCATCAGCCGGCAGAGCGGCGATGCGGTCCGTGATCCTGTCCATTGCGACGGGAAAAGCTACTGCTATTGTATACGGCGTCTTTGAAACTTCGAGTTGGGTATGATGTCTGATGTCGGACGTCGGTGCTGTAGTTGGGCGGATATCGTCGGCGGGGGCGTTTTGTTCGAGTCAAAGCCTCGACCAAGTTCAAAGGCTAAGATAGTGCGGGGATCGAGGAAGGAGGATCCAAACCTCTCTTATCTGAAATCGTATGGCTTCTCCTCCGACAAGAGCCTCAGTCCAAAGGGGATAACTCGGGAAACAAGAAGGCTGACTTCGGTTTTCATTTGGAGGGGAATGGGATGGGATGGGATGGATGGTCGAGTTTTGTTTGGCGGGGCATCTCTGATAGCGGGGTTCAGAACTGGAAAGCACGGCCTGGGTTGTCGCTGTCGGCTTTCAGAGTCCGTTCTGGGTTTGGCGCCTGCCCGGGAAAGAGCCATGACGCACCGATTCCCGTCCAGGTTGCCAGCGCGGTACCTGGGGCCGGGTATCATGCAGGGCCCATTTGCGCCCATTGGATACTGTCACCCAAGTACCGGCATGGCCCGAGCTCTGTTTTTTTGCACTGGACGATGGCGTGGTTGATATCCTCTCTTCTCTTGCTCAGTTCAACTCTACCAGTGTAAGCTCCTACACTGCTCGGCTTCTTCCTCCCATTGATGCCCCCTCGCATCATGCCGACATTCCAATGCCGTTGCTGCACGGAAGGCTCATGAGCTGCGCCGCGGCTCGGCGCGCTTTGCCGGCTATCTCGAACTCTATCCGAAGCGCCACCCGGCCGCGTTTAACGACACCTCAGACGACAACTCTTAGGACAGTCTCGCGACGATGGTACGCTGTCGATCTTACTACCTTGGACGAGAAGTGGCGAAAGATATGGGAGGAGTCCGAAAAGGCTGAGGATGTTGCTCAAGTCAAGGACAAGCACTATGTCCTGCCCATGTTCCCGTACCCCTCCGGGACACTCCACCTGGGTCACCTGCGTGTGTACACCATTGCCGATGTTGTCGCTCGATTTCGAACGATGAAAGGTGATAAGGTGATGCTGCCAATGGGTTGGGATGCTTTCGGCCTTCCTGCTGAGAATGCCGCCCTCGAACGAGGCATTGCTCCGGGAACTTGGACAACGAGCAACATGGCCAAGATGAAGGAGCAATTAGAGGTCATGAATGGAAGCTGGGACTGGGATCGTGTGCGTTTGGTCCGTCATTCCGGATAATCAATGTCAGACTGACAATTAGTAGGAACTGGCAACTTGCGACCCCAAGTTTTACAAACATACCCAGAAGCTCTTCCTAATGCTATACGGACGAGGACTTGCCTACCAGGCCGAAGCTGAGGTCAATTGGGACCCTGTTGATAAGACCGTGCTGGCGAATGAGCAGGTGGATGCCAATGGCTGCTCATGGAGATCCGGTGCCAAGGTCGAGAAGAGAAAACTAAAGCAGTGGTTCTTTCGTATCTCCGAGTTCCGCGAAGCCCTCCTCGAGGAGTTGGATGCTCTCGCCAAAGAAAACGCTTGGCCAGAACGAGTTCTGGCTCAGCAAAAGAACTGGTTGGGTAAATCGATGGGCGCTTCTGTCAAGTTCCCGGTCTTGGACCTTGGTTATGACATCCACGCTGCTATCGAAGTCTTTACGACTCGCCCCGATACTCTGTTTGGCGTGCAATACATAGCTCTTGCGGCCAGTCATCCAATTGTTGCTCAGCTCTCAAAGGCAGACCCTGAGCTACAGGCCTTCCTCGACATCATACCTGGACTGCCCCCAGACTCCAAAGTTGGCTATCTGTTGCCTCATCTACGGGCTGTTAACCCTCTTGCCTACCGCGAGGATACTCCAGCCGCGACCAAAGTCTCGCTTCCAGTCTATGTCGCTCCCTATGTTCTGGGTGACTATGGTGAGGGCGCTGTTATGGGCGTCCCTGGCCATGACCTACGAGATCATGCCTTCTGGAAGGAGCATCATTATGACCAACCTGTCCGCCATGTCCTCTGTGCCTCAGAGGACGAGACAACGACAGCCATGAAAAACGAGCCTTTTGTTGACCATGGAATCATGACAGAACATAGCGGCTCCTTTAAGGGGAAGCATTCCGCTGCTGCTGGAGAGGAAATCGTCAAGTTTTTGGAAGAAAAAACAGGGCTCGCAAAACCCGTTGAGAAATGGCGTCTGCGAGACTGGCTCATCAGTCGCCAGCGCTACTGGGGCACGCCAATCCCCATTGTTCACTGTGACTCCTGTGGCCCTGTGGCTGTCCCTGACGAGCAGCTTCCTGTGGAACTACCTGAAGTTGACTGGGCTTCGTTCCGCAGTGGAAATCCTTTGGAGGCGACTCCTGAGTTTGTCAACACGACGTGTCCCAAGTGTGACGGCCCTGGTCGGAGAGACACCGACACCATGGACACGTTTGTGGACTCGAGCTGGTACTACGCCCGTTTCACAGACCCTCACAATGAAGAGCAGCTATTGTCTCCCGAAGCTGGCAAGACTCTTCCCGTTGATACATATATTGGCGGCATTGAGCATGCCATCCTTCATCTACTGTACGCCCGCTTCATCTACAAGTTCCTCGCCTCTACACCACTTCTCCCTCAATACTCTGAGGAGACGTCTCATACTGCCGAGCCATTCAAGCGTCTGATCACACAAGGTATGGTCCACGGCAAGACTTATATCGACCCTGCAAATGGTCGCTTCCTCAAACCTGATGAGGTCGACCTGTCAGACCCAGCCCAGCCCAAGGTGGTCTCTTCTGGGCAGCTGGCCAACATATCGTATGAGAAGATGTCCAAGTCCAAGCACAACGGCGTGGACCCTGTTGGCTTCATCTCTCAATATGGCGCTGATGCTACCCGAGCACACATGCTCTTCCAGGCACCAGTTGGGGATGTCCTCAACTGGGATGAGGCCAAGATCTCGGGTGTCACTCGTTGGCTCCAGCGGTTACACGATCAGGTCGTGTCCATCGCTGCTGAGCCTGTCTCAAACACGATGTCTCCTCAAGAATACTTGGCTGATAAGCACGGACGGCTTGGGTCGTTGTCTGCAAAGGAGCTTGCGCAATGGGATGCTGAGGCAGCCATCTGGCGTGAGGTACAGCGCACCATTGCTTCGGTCACGGCGTCATATGAGGAAATTTACTCTCTCAACACTATCGTCTCGGATCTTATGATACTCACCAACAAACTTGTCGAGAATTCAACGGCCAGTCCAGTCATCCGACGGGAGGCCGCGCGGACAATTATTTCCATGATGGCGCCTATCACACCGGCCTTTGCCGAAGAATGTTGGGCTACCCTTCATCCCTCCGTGACTACATCCATGTTCCGCTCAACCACTTTCCCCGTGCCAGACTCATCTTTGGCTGAGCTCGTACGGCCACGGGTTCAGGAGTGCGCTGTCCAGGTCAATGGCAAAGTGCGTGGAGTGGTAAAGATCCCTCCGCCTCCAGCCGATCTCTCTGGCGACGCGCTTCGCGACTGGATGGTGAAGGAGATTCTCGCGACTGACGAGGGAGCCGCGCGCTTCTCCAAGGGACCGTATGACCTGCGTTCCGCGAAGAGGGCCATTCCTGTGAGGGGCGGCAAAACCATCAATTTTGTGCTGGGGAAGTAATCCCATCAGCTAAGCCGTCTTGGACGGATGTATTCGTATACTGTGATGACTAGACCACCTAGATGACAATAGACTTGAGGAGATACCCGACTCTAAGCATGTGGTGCCTGCGACTAGTGATGGCATCTTGAAGTTTGAGATTGCCAAGCATTTATACTTCTCGGTGAGCAAATTTTTTAGCATGGCGATCCTGGAGGTCGAGCTTAACCATGATGCCCCTCATCCGAAGACCGGACGAGGGGTATCATGGCGTTTTACCCCTGAGTGGGTATGATATGCCCGTCATGGACTGCTTGAATCCGAAAATGAGGCCAGATTCGCCATGACAAGTCCCTTTTTCGCATACAAACACACTTTCGGCAATCTCAATACTTTATTTTTGCACTGCCACGCTCAAAGGTTCCAGAAAACCCTCTCACCGTGGTGAAGAAACTACACGGCCTCTCTCTCGGCCATGTAAAACTTTGCAAGACCTTGAGAGATAGAACGGAGACGATCTTGCTGAATTACTGATCTACGCCACTCGGACTTCACCATGCTAGACTTTCGGCTGATCTCCAAGATTTATTTCCTTTCTCTTTCCCCTCTTGATCTTGTACTGACAAGTTACACGGTTGAGCCTCATACACTAACAATTCGTCCTCAACTGCACGTGTTGATAAGTTAAGCTCCCGTTCAGCTCATTCGCGATCATTCTTGCTACCTTGACGGTGGGTGAACCCCGAGATAACCCCGCTCTTGGATAAACTCCAAAGCACACGCAGTGTTGTTTTCACGATCCGCCGGAACTCTCGAAGGCCTCAACCCGGGGCTACACCTTTCTTTGCCGACTCCGGACGCAACAGAAGAAATTTGGCAATGTGTCCTTGATGAACGTGGTATATAAGCTAAGTGTAATCCCTCTCTGAAAGGTTTCTGCTCATTATACACAATACAAACATACATTCATTCATTCATTTGCATCTACTCAAACTACTTACACTCGCTTGGCATTGCATTCTTTGTTTTTAAACATTTTTATCTGATTCACCCTTGGCCGGGGGCTCGTTCAACATCATTATCCACTCTTTAATCACAACATACGACCGGTCAGCATCATACTGCTCATCATATCACCTTCATTTGGCATCCATCCTTTCATTCAGACTGGATCGACAGGCCTTTGTCAACACTTCAGACCAAGCCGAAAGATCTCAGTTAGCATAATGCACCTACCAGCACAACGGAGAGTGGCATCAGCATCTTTACAACTTGGCATCTGTAACCCACACTCCTTGGGCATCATATACCGCATGCTGTGAGCCCCTTTACGGGTCATCTACAGTCTAGCATACCAACAGCATCTCATCTCACCCTCACAAACAAAATCGGTTTTTTGCAATGGCATTTCCCGGGACCTTTGATCGACACATCTACAGCTCTCTCGTCACATTGGAACTGCGATCACGACACAAACCCGGAGACATCAACGCAATCTACACGATCTTTGTATAAAGGATTGCTGTACATAACGGCAATCCTTATAATGGCAATCGAACTAGGCATCTTTAGCCCTTGGCTTCAGGGGCAATCTAGGATTTACCAGAAGGGATGAAGAGCTTTTGCTTGACTTTTCGACTACGTTCTTGGCTTACCGGTCCGGACTGGCCATTTTTGGCGTTTCATACATTGGAGGAGTCTGGGAGGGTTTTGCGTATGGAAGGGTGATTGTCCATGTGTTGGGCTTTTTCATCTGGACGACCATCGACCACCGGACAACCCACCAAACTAGTCATGGACTGTCATCAGATAAGGGGAACGTCGACCAGCTTTGACCTTCATCCCTTGGCGAGGCAGTACCAAAGACGAAGAGGCATGGAGGAAAGGGCCACGGCTGGCCACAAAGCCCCCTTTCTCCCATCTGGTTAGAATGCTATGGTGTTGCCAACAACACGGCTGCAGATGACCAGATGGATTGGGGCACTATGGCAGCCCAATAAAGACTAACCAACCGTCATTCTCGCAACTTGCGTATTGCATGGTGCTTCGAGCACACGCTATTCAGAATGGGAGCCGCGACAGCAACGAAATCTGCATACGGCGGAAGAGTATCGGGTACTCTTCTTCGATCAGATCGGATTGCGACTGACGGCGATTTCCCTCTTGTCCAACTTTTTCTACAAAGATTTACAACATGGTTGAAGAAATGACGGGTGGAGGTGGAAGAAAAGGGATGCTCCTTGGATAGAGGGACGTTTCTTGAAAAGAAGGATGCGTCTTGGGGAAGGGAATGTGCCTTGAAGAGGGGAATCTGTTTGAAGGCTTGCGAATGTAACGGAGGGTCGACGACAGGCACACGCACGAGGTACGGTGATTCCACGCTCCTTCACGGACAGCATTTGAGAGGTCAGCTGGACAAGAACGAGGCACATCAACGAGGAGAAAATTTGACCGTGTAGCTGTTTGCATACTGCAATCTGGACAGTGGTCTTTGTTCCTCGACGCTTTGTTCTACCAGACTGACGAGTCATTTCACTCCTGGGGCGACGGGGTCTGGAGTTGTTCTTGACTTGGGGACAGGCAGAGGTGAGGGACAAGATTCCTCCCTGGGGCTAGCTCATTTCACTCCTGGAGCAACAAAGTCTAGAGTTGTTCTTGACTTGGGGACAGGCAGAGGTGAGGAACCAGATTCTTCCCTGGGGCTAGCTCGAGTTTTGCAACGACTCTACACCAGCTCGTGAATGCGTTTGCATAGTAGTTGTTTTGGAGGGGATCTACAGCACAGACGACGGTCTGCTTGCTGAAATAGCCATATATTAGCATTTAGTTAGAATCTATTTTGTGTTTAGTTTACCTTGTGCTCTTGCCAGTAGAAGAGACCGTCTCTGTGACCATGTTTGACGTGAATACAGACTATGCTAGGAATAATTGACTATTGTATTGAAAAGTATTGTTTAACAATCATTAACCTCCCATAGAATATCCTCTCTTTCACCATTAGAGAAGCCAATATCCCGTCACATTCTTGTCTTTGTTCAAGTGATTCAATTCTTCGCAAACACTTGAACAGATGTCTAGGTTGTCGTTTCTGGAGGCATTTAAACCTGGTGTAGATTCAAGTGACTGGGTAAGTCATACAATAAAATAAATAATAAAATTCCAGTATATAAACAGCATGTAATGTCAATTTTTAAATCATCGTGTCCAAAACCTCACTTTTAATAACTCGCAAAAGGCATCTACAAATTGGCAAAAGCTGGTGGGTCTACAAAACCCTTGCTAGCTCTTACTTCAAGGCTCTTGATTCGTTATCTCGCAAAGAGGTTCGCGGCTATAAATAGACCGCCAACCAGGATGTCTAGACAAGGGCAAAGAGACCCACCAGATTTTGACAATTTGCAGAGTCGATTTACAGCTAAACTTCAATAAAAAGACCATGTATAACAAAACATGCACTCAATATATAACAAAAATTCAAACTGATGTAATTGGTAGCATAGTTAAATCTCACCTACCTGATTTTGTCAAGTAGGCCCTTCGGGGAGTGGCTGGTCTTGGTTCGATCCCAGGGTTTGGTATTGCTTCCTTTTTTGTGTAGGGTTAGCAAGAAAACATCCACAGACACTCGATGAAAGAAGCTTTACTACGTGCATGAGTCAAGCTGTAAGTTTAAGAAGTCACATTCCAAGAACTGCGTGAGGAGAGCCCTTGTGGCTTGGTAAAAAAAAGCTCCTTGATCAGCGAGAAAAGCCACAACAAGCCCTTGGAGATGGCACTGGCGAGGCATCTGATCCATCCAACCCTTGTAGCTTGTCAGCGACACTTCCTCGACAGTATTGTTGTGCCAGATAAGCGGGCTTATTCTTTCGTCTGGGGATGTGGTGAAGAAACTCAGGGGGAGGCATCTGATAGGGTAAGTAGTTGAGTGAGTTGTACACGAGGCCCTCCAACACGAGATAAGCGACTTACCATCACGACGGTCAAGTCCGAGTGATACGTCATATGGAGGCTTCCCTTAAAACAAAACAAAACATTAGCAAGCAAAGGAAGAGGCTGAATAGACAGACATGACATTCAGCTTCTTCTAGATCTAATTACCTTCCAAATGAGGACAGCCTCCTGACCGGCTTTGATGACAGCTTACCCAACATCAATATTTTGACCCAAAACATGGGGATCGGCATGAGAATAACCATTGCCAATTGGCATGAGGCCTGCCATGGGAATTGACAAGTTACTTGCGTTAGGAGGGTGTAAGCCATTGCCTTGCTATTGGCTGAACAAGTACAACCCCATCAAACGAAACTGGTCCAGCCAGGCACAAGAGGCAAGCTGAATTGCTTCAGCTGCGGGATTACGCGTCTTGGCATTGAATACGATTAATTCATTTGCTAAAACTTGACTGTTATACCGCCCAAATCTAGATACCGCCTGTGCGCCGCCGCTTTCCAGGTTGTCGTTGTAACTGATACACCCATGTATGTAAATCTTATTGGGAAGGTATCCAAACGCTCAAATGACAGGTTAAATAATGGTTGGGCATGTCTGACATTAGGCCCGTGTAATGGCATCTTCTATCACAGGTAAATGATCGAATCAGTAGAGAAGCTTACTACACCCTCCGCTCCTCATCCAGTAACCTCTCGCCTTCCGCATGCGCATGATGAGGCTTGTTGCGATATAACACGTAGTGCTGAGTGATGAAGATGCTGTCGTAGATCATGCTGATGTTGCCGAGCGCAAACTTGACCGGGTTGCCAGTGATGCCGCTCCAGTCACGCTGCTGGTAACTGTCAATGGCCTGCTGGCTGACACTCAGGACGCCACCCGTTAGATCGAGCAGGATCTGCGAGATGCTCCATCCCTCGGTGCTCTGGTTGTTGTAGTTGGCGACAATCTGGGGCGTGTACTTGATCAAGGTCACGATAAGCTTGACATAACCGATGGCATATACAATATCCAAGGCGACCCAATCGTAGAGAGGATCGTTCCCAGCCGAGGTGGTAACGATGACACACGTCAGGATGACCCCTGTGATACAGCCGGCGGCTACCCCAAGGATGAAGCGGCTGGGTCGATTCCCGGGGCTTGGGGTAAAGTTCCACAGGGAGGAGAACAGGTACTGGGAGACGGTGACGATGGACAGGATCAGAGCGTGGAGAGCAAACGTGATGTCGTTGAACTGGACGGTGGGCTCGAGGCCTCGGTGACGGGCAGCATACTGGGCACGGATCTCAGGGGAGTAGTAGAAGGCCAGGTTGGAGACAAAGTAGGCGAGGAAGCCTGTGACAGAATCATCGTGGTCAGCAAACTTGAAGCGACGTCGGAGGTTGCAGAGCTGAGTGTGAGGATCCCCTGGCTAAGAGACCAACGGGGGTCATGAACGTGGCGGTGATCGGGCCCAGGGTGCCGGGGCGGCAGGGCAACAGAGCCGCGGGCCGGGGGGTGTGAGATGACAATCATGCCATGGGGGGAGGATAAGAAGCAGAGGGCGCGTGGGATGGATGGTGGACGGGCGCGCTGTTGGGCACTCACCGAGCACGTTGATGAAGGGAAAGTCGACAGTGGTGCCGCTGGTGGAGCGTCGACGCCAGTTGAGCAAGGCCTGGGGATAGAAGGAGGCGCTCCAGGCGAGGAAGTAGACCCAGCCGAAGACGCCCGAAAGAAAGGTGAGCAACCCGTCGGCCATGGTCTGGTCTTGTTTTATTGTTTGGCTTTCTACGGGGGGTAGAGACGCGATGAGAGACCGGGGTAAGAGTGAAAAAGGCGGAGATAGGATAAGAACAGATAAAGATACAGCGAGAGGAATTGAAAGAGCGGAGAGAAAGAGAAACGGCGACGTCGAGTCGTTGGTGATGAGGATGATGATGTTGCTCGTGGAAGATCGTGTGACTGGTTAAAGGAGAGCTCATGTGCTGGGCACCACAGCTGATGCAATCGCGGTACGTACCTTATTTTCCCTTGCACCATCGATAGCCGCCTTTCCTCTTACGGTAAAGGGGGCAAACTCGGCGTGGCGCCGCCGCGGGAAGTGGAAGTTTGGGCCCTGAGGCTGACCTGCCAGAAGCCCAGAAAGTGCCTGCAGCTGTGGCTGGCGCAGGTGCCGAGCTGTGGCTGCATGATCCAATCAAAACCTACCGATCGATCAGGTGGGGGTCCTGTCGAATCGAAGAGGCCGCTTCAAATCTTGGATGTTGTGTTCTTGTTGCACATGCTTTTTGACGTCGTGAAAGTATCAATAAATTGAATGTGTTGTCATGATGCATAAAAGATCGGGTAGAGCAGGAAAGCAGTGATACAAGATCTACCATGCATGTGCGAAGCGAGAACTGATGCAGACGCAACAAATGGACATTCTACCTTTAATCTCAGTCTTCGCGATGGGATGGGCAGCCATACGGGAAAGATCCGGTCAGCTCGAGCCCGATGTGATTTCGACTAGAGCAAGACACGGGTATCAAAATATCGAATCCATGGCTTCTGGAACAAAAATATTTGCTGGGACCCAGGCTAATAAACCTAACAGGTAAAAAGCATAGACAAGGACGAAAATGCACACCACGGGAATTGTCCGAGGCGCCCTGTCATTGTTTGGTATACCCTCACCGCTGTGGATCCGTATTTTAACTCACACGCCCCCTTTCCAATCTGCTCAGACCCTTCGAAATTCCTTCACCTTGAGCTTTGTCGCCGGTCGCCAGCGGTGTGCTCAGAGCCGCAAGTTCGATCAGGCCAGCCACGACAAAAGCACGCCAGAAGCAAAGGGGCACCCAGAAAAAAAAAAGAGTGGGGGGCTCGCAGCATCGGAACAGGCCGGACGAACTGGCGACCGTCACGGGTTATTTTCTTTTCTGGTTCGTCTCCGTTTCACTTTTTGGCACTGAAAAAGAGACTGATGATACTCGGATCCGAAGTGGACTTTTTGCGAATGAACGGATGTGACTCTTTTAAAAAGGGTTTCTGCCGGTATCGCCATGCCGTGCTGTGTCCGAACTATCTCCGCCCCGCTTTCTCAATTGAATGATACACGTCAACTTGGAATAGAATCACGGGAACAGACCGAGAGCGAGGGAGGCTGATGGGAATAGAATCAGGATACGAACTCGCGCGATACGTTTTGTTTTGATGCGACACGGCCTTGGGCCTCCGTTGCAGGCGGGACCCCCTTTTTTTCTTCAACGTCATGACGATGAACAGACAGTAACCAGGTTTCATCAACCCATGGATTGATTTAATCGTCAATTAACAGAAACAGCATGATTTAATTCTTCACCGACACAGCTCACCTCACTTCACTTGTGTCTCCCTTCACCTGTCGGCGCCCAACGGGAGACGAAAGGCTAGATTAGAAGCTTGGGTCAAGGGGAGCCAGCCAGCCCGATAGCACACCCTGTCAGAAAGAGAGAGAGAGTGGGTATGCCTTCAATCGACAGGGCTGGGCTGGGTCTGGCCTGCCCCTGGCGGCCGTTCCGGTACGGCCTTTGCTCGGCACCGGGACGGTACTTGTCACCTTACGCAGGCTACCTCACCTCACCTTGGCTTTGGGTTACGCCGCGTTGCGTGTGTGTGTGTGTGTGTGCAGCAGACAGATATGGCTGCAGCATGACTGCGAGATGCAACCATCCATGCAGGAAGCGCAGCCAGGCGGCTACCGACGTCCACACAGCCTGATCCGTATCACTGGCGTGTCTAACAAAACAGAGTTGTCGATATCCACACTGCTGTTCTGGGCAATTAATGGATCAGAGATAGCAGAAAAACAGCCCGTTCTATTCCCTTGGACCCAGTGTCCGGCATTCGGCATCGTCAGTTCCAGGCCCCAAGGGTCTTTAAGAAACAGGTCATGATGGTACACGCCCCCCATGGACGGATATCCACCCATGTTGCGCAATTCAGGGCAGCATTTGATGTTATTTTCTTCATGTTTTTCTTCTACGGCCCTTTATCTGTTTTACTGATCGACCCAATCATCCACGGTCGCACGACAACCCACCACGAGTCAGCTTATCTGACGCCGGGGATGGGCCGCTCAAAGGTTAACTGGCAAGACGGGCGTAGGGTTGGGTACAGTACCAAATCTGTCATTCCAGCCAGCCTTTGAAAGACTTCAGCTTCAATTAGATGACAGTGTTATTCTTGATAGCGTCTTGAGGGTGTGTGACTGACGCTCGGTGAGACACCGTCCCGTCAGCCACTGCATGTTGGCAATGGATGGATCAACCTTGGTGAACCAATCCTCTAGCTCGGCACACCCTTGTCTTTTTGATGAACGTAGGTATCATGATCATGTACCGTCCCGTCCCGATCCCTGGCCACTCGACTCGACTCGTTTGACTCACCCTAGTCCCTGTTGGTCGCTATCGAACCTCGTCCATTTCTCGGAGAGGGCGTGTCCGGTCGACAGACAGGTCTGGGTACGAGTAGACTCATACAAAAGAGTCAATCTTGATTTTGTATATGAAGCGAGCCTCGTCCCGCCCTGAATCTCACTTCTTCCCCATCTTGTATCTCATCAACAATCTGTTGCAAATCTACAGTCCATCTCCATCTCTTGACTTGGATCATTCCAACCAATTGACAACCACTCAACTTTACCATCCTCCAAGGATCGACATTCAGCTCTTCCAAGATCAGCATCACGCCAAAATCTGCACGTGCTATCTTTCATCATCACCATCAATCAATCCAATCCAACTTTTCCAACTTGTTCATAAGTCTGGGGAAAGCCCACTAGTCGGATCAATATCCACATCAACCATCACCACTTACACCAACACCATCACATCAACCATCATGGCTGCCACAATTCAGCAACAACCCTCAGAACAGCCCCATCAGACTGGGTTCCTCGATCTCCCCGTCGAGATCCGCCTAGAAATCTATGACCAGCTCCTCCTCACAACACCCTACACAAAGTGTGGTCGCCCCAGTCCTGATTCCAAGGTGCACGCCTCTCTCCTCCGCACCAACCGCCAAATCCACGATGAGGCCACCGACCTCCTCTACGGCTCAAATACCTTCCTCGCTCACCCGACACTCCTCACTTCATTCCCCCGCCTGCGCAACTGGTACGGCCCCGTCAAGGAGTCCTCCATCATTCCCCGCATCCGCCGCTTCCACACCCAGGTCCGCCTGGATGTCGATCTCCCTTATGAGGCCGACGCCGTGACGGAAGCATTCAGCGGGCTCGACGAGCTCTCCATTGACGTCGTTCAGGCCATGTTCCTCGGCGTCGGCTACCGCAACCTCCGCAAGTTTGAGGGCGTCCGCGGTGTCAAGAAGGTCCGCATCACAGGCAGCACCACTGGCTTCGAGGACTACGTCCAGTGGCTCAAGATGGCCATGATGAGCGAACCCGACGCCAAGATCCCCGACTTTGTGCCTCAGCAACAAGCCGGCTGGGTCCAGCGGTTAGCCAACGTGCACTACTAAGTGTACTACTTTGATTCATTCGACTTTTTCGCTTCATATTAGATGTTTTTTTTTTCTTTCTTTCTTTCTTTTTCTTTTGACACGGGGCGACCAAAAAGCAATAACGAATGATGAAGACTGTTTAGATTTTGTTATTGGCCGGCGTTTTTGGGAAAATGGGAATTTGACACTTTTCACAAGAGATTCCCACAGCGTTCATCGAACGGGCGCAAATACAGGATGGAAAGACAATCTACAAGATTAGTATAGTGATAGATTATAATCAAATCAAACATTTCAAGCAAACAATCGTCTTCTTTTTCCATGTGAAGTTCTACAAGAAGCTACTTTAGAGGCTATTCTTAGGTGCAGAGATAAGTCGATGGGTTCGCGGAAGATGGTCCCTATTTGCTCAGTCGGAGATATCCATTTTGATACAGATAAGATTGAAAGGACGGCAAGCTATCCGATAGATTCATGCAAGAGTTTCACATGGAGCATGGCGCCAGACTTACCACATCATGACTCTCATGATAACTCACTGGCTACATCAAAACCCATCAAGTCCCCAATTAACTTGCTAGAATAAGATGATTTCCATTCCACTCTAATTGGTAGTCTTTTGATCAGATACAAAGTACAGTTCTTGATATCGGTGCCCTCGGTGTAAGAGGCTAAGGGATTTGGACTTGTGTCTCATGGCTTGGACAGAGGAGAGCAGCCAAGCACCGAAATTATTGAGAGCTGAGCAATGGTGCTACCAAGGCGGCAATTCTCCAACACAATCAACTTGATGCTAATATAACCGACCGCAAGATACATGGCATGAATCACCTGGGAGTTACCATGGTGCTTAAAGACATCAATATCTATCCACATAAGATATCCCATCTGAACCTTGATAGAGTAGATTCGGGCAAGGTATGCTCTACGTATGCCTTAGACCGCGACTCTCATCATAAAATATTCAACTCGTGCGTCACAGCAAGAGTCGAGTGCGTGATACACTGACACGTGCCTGTGTTGCTGATGCATCACAACTCGACCAACCTCGCCGGCAATGAGCTACTTTTCCCAACACCCGCCTTCCACCCGCACAATGCGTACCTTCGCCTTGAACCCCCCACTTTTCGAGGCCTTTCTCAGGGTTTATGAGCCATGCCCGCCAAAGACTTGCATACGAAGACGACTCCTTGGTCCGTCTTTCGTCATGGCATTGACTACCACCACGCCAGCATCCTTGCGAAAGCGCGAACCTCAGTCCGCCGGGCTATATCACTTCTTGGATGGAGTCACATCCCGGACGCCGTTGTACCTCAAGGCGAACCGATGCTATCATAGCAAGAAGAGCGTACCAGGGAGAACCTGGATGATCAACCAAGCCCGAGTCTGGTCTCGAGCAGAACAACCTCCACCCGGTGACACCTCGTTGACCGAAGACTCGTTGTCGGAGAAGCGGAGCCCGGAGAAGGTGCAGCGACGAGATGCCATGCTCCGAGAGGGCATGCAGCTACGAGGCCCGTCTAGCTCGCGTCAGATAGAGGTTCGGATGTCATTTCGCCAGACAACAATAGCGGCTGACTGCGCACGGGCGTCCATCGCACACCAAGTACACGACCCCAGCGCCGTCGCCGAGGCGAGATGCTGAAGTAGCTAACAGCAAGGTCAGTGTCTGCTGCTAAGGCCGAGCAGGAAGCATATGGTCCTTGCTACTCTCATATTGCCGCATCCACCACGATTCCTTCACCTTTAACGGGTTCCCCTTCTTTGAGCAGGTAGCTCTGTGAAAGCCCCCCCCTTGAGCTTTGCCACCTTTCCTCTACATAGAGATGAACGGCTCCATGGGGGGGCATATCATGGCTCCATCCCTCACAGACAACCCAACAACAACTGGAAGTTGCTTGACCTGTCTCACCACCCAAGGGCACATCAAGGCAACTCGCCGAGAGAAGCACAGTCGGTGACACAAAATGCCATCACACCTGTCCCTCAACGCAATAGCCAAACAAGGCCACTGCGTTAGCATTGGGATATGATGCTATGATGTGTCGATAATGTGTTCTTTGTTATAGTTGAAGCCCTGCTCTCGACGGGATAACTGAGCCAGAAGACCGCAACAGTCAAACATCTCACGAGCTTTGCAGAAGCGTCCACGTCAGCGCCAGCAGCGAAAAGAAAAATTATTGATACATGACGGCATGAAAAACACCACACTCGACTGCTCCTCGCCTCCCTCGTTGAGTCTGGCTATCTCCCTGAGTATGGACCTGGCCTCGTTCAGCTCATGAGCCAGAACAACAATGTGTTCTTTGTTATAGCCGAAGCCCAGCCCTTGATGGGATAACCGAGCCAGAAGACCGAGCCAGAACAACAACGGTATCATGACCCTGGGTTCGACAAGGTTGACAGGAAGAAGGAGTTCATCAGAAGGAGCTCATCGATGCACTCGTCAAGGACCCATACCAGACTACGGAGCAGATTCTCAGTCCCGTCTACGATCATGCCTACTTTCAGCGCATGTCGGTCTACTCCTGGGAGACTCTCGACCTTGGGGATTTCAGTCACATCCCCATCACTATCCCATAGCCACCCACCAACGAACCCTACCTTTTCCATGACGATAACCGCCCTGGCGTTCCGACTTCGATGCCTTTCGACGCTCACTTTATGGTATTAGGGTTTGAAGCCGTCATGTATTAATAACTGTGTCTTTGATGGCAAGAGAAGAATGCCCTTCGACGCACACAGCCGCGTAGCAATGCACACCTACATTTTCAACAACAGCCCTTGGAGACGCCCCACTTCCCACGATAGAAGCAGTTTGGTCATATTTACAAATTCTACTTTCTTCTTCATTATGGTTACACTCCTCTTCTTGGTCAAAGAGAGCGTCAGGCACGGGGTAAACACCACCATCGCTGCATCGACGAGACCAAAACCCAGTGTCTAAAAACACCGCAGCCTACAAAGGTTGATAGCTCGCCGAAAGTGTAAGAACTCTGCCCATACAAGCCCCTTTGCTGTCCAACAAATGCTGACCTTCCAGTCAGCAACCATTGTCTCATACTCTTCTATCATCATGACAACTCCCTTCGAAAAAGGGCATCAGCCACAACAACAAAGAACATATTGAAGCCTAATACCTTGAAACACCGTGACCGAAACATTATTCGAATTGTACGGCCCTTTTACGGTGGCAGCCATGCAAGGTTCAAGTCTGTCTGCACGATAACCACTTCCCCAACAACCTTCAACTTTACAGCCTCACCAACGAACCCTCTCGGTGTTTCTGTGGCCACCTGGTCATTTTTCAAGTGTGTCATTCTCCAAACTCTATATCCGTTTTGCCTATATAATAACCGTCTACCCTCCCAGATCGATCCCTTCCTCCTTTCCTCTTCATCCTCCTGCGAGCCCTCCGGGGCTCCAAACAACATCTTCTCCCTCAACTCCAACCCATACTGGGGCGGTTCCTTATCACCATTTGGGACCGCCTCAGTATGCTTTTCCTCAAATCCGTCCAAAACGTTGGGATTGGTCGACGATACGCCAAAGGTCTCACCTGCGTCCCTTTCATCGCACCCGGGTGTTTGATGATCAAACACTCTCGTACGCAGGCCGGACGAGAACACGATGAATCGACAAGAGTCTCCTGTGCAGTGGAGATGCGACCTTTCCTCGATAGTTCAGACTGCTCCATCTCGGAAAGGAGTTCCTCGGAGATGCCTTGTGTTCCATACCAACCACGATCAACCTAAACTCAAAGAACACGGCATCTCTCCCCGAAGGATCATTGCCGATTTGAAAGCACCTAATCTAGCACAACTTCCCCGCCAGCATTCGGCTGGTAGTAGCAGGGGCAAGGGGCAGGGTCACGTGGTGGAGAGCTGACGCTCTCTACGGCACCACCAAGTGTAACACCAACACCTGCCCTTTGAATGACCCAACTTGCTCGCTGGCTCTATCAGTGTAGCATGACGAAGGGATCCCAAGGGTGGTTCCATCCCATACTTGCCGACATTATGTCGGTGACTGGTGCTCGATGCCAACCATGCCTGGCATCCTGGTTTTCCAGGAAGCACACAATTTAGCAACCTCACAACAACCGGTAGAACTTGTGTCTAAGCACTTGGTCTCCGGCTTTGGTTGCATCGCAGCGCAGAAACCCATATCCGGAACTTTCACTAGACGATTCAGAGTCGTCGCGGTTTTTTTTTTTTCTTTGACGGAGCTGGGTCTGACGCAGCACATCTTGTGTTGAAGAGGGTGTTCTTTGCAACTGAGCTTGACACTCTCTCTTCTTCGTGGGAAGAGAAGTGCTCGAGTTTCACAAAGACACTAGATCAACCATGTAACTCTTGGAGTTGCAGCTCGAAAACGAAGCCTGACTGGAGCTAGGTTTGACTAGAGCCCCCAAAGACAGCCATCCCGAGCCTCAGTCCTTCAAGGTTTCAGAAGACTTTGCTACCCAAGTCTTCACTACAGCCACCAACTTCGAGACTCAAGCCATTCAACCTGATCTCAAGTTCCAGGGCAAGTATCACCACTGACCTCTTAATCTTGGCTTGGTCTCTACTTCGACTCACCAGGGACGTTGCACTCCAGTCTTCGTCACTGGTATCCCCCACCCTGCCTTCGCCTCTACTTTGAGGGCCCGGATCTCAACCGAACCCCATCACCTCTTTGCCCGACAGTCCTCACCCAATGAGCGGAGAGGTAGATGAGGGTTACAAATACGTCCCCGACTTGCTCCGTCTTTACACCAATAGCCGGAGATTACTCGCCTGGGGAGCCTTGCTGCGACTATGGGTACGACCTAAGACCAGTCACCACATCGGATGACATTTCAGAGATGGAATCGAGTGGAACTGCGTTCTTTGCTACTGTGCCCAACACTCCCTTTGGTTCTGTGAGAATGAAAGTGGAGTTGTCAATGCTGAGGAGTGCCCTGGGCAATGATGATAACCAAGTGGGATGGTGTTGGGGGAATCATTTGCTCTGTTTGAGCTCGCTCTTGCAGACACAGGCTACAGGGAAAGTTAGAAGACGGAGAGAAGTAGTCTAGATCAATCCAAAATTTGAAGCCAAGCCCATCGCTCTCAACCCCATCTCACCTCACATGGCGGTCGTCGATCGTCCTCTAATCCTCGCCAGACCTACCACCTGGCTGTCGGTCTCTAGTATTGTAAAAGCGCACGCTACATGAGGGATAGCGGGAACAGATATCTGTCTTGTCAACGTGGCCATTGATAACGGATGCTATCTCCGAGCAGGTAGATCTAGTTTGGCCGTCGGTGTTCAAT